TTCTTTGTCTCCACAGACTCCTAAGTACACCACTCACCCTTTTCCCCTCATCAATTCTATGATTCACCTCATCTTTCATAGACCCATCCGCTGACACGTCCACTCCCAAATATATGAATACATTCACCTCCTCCATACTCTCTCCCTCCAATCTGATATCCAATCTTTCATCACCTAATCTTTTTGTTATCCTCATAACCTTACTCTTTCCTGTATTCACTTTTAATTTTCTTCTTTTGCACACCCTACCAAATTCATCCACCAATCTCTGAAACTTCTCTTCAGAATCTCCCAAGAGCACAGTGTCATCAGCAAAGAGCAACTGTGACAACTCCCACTGTATGTGTGATTCTTTATCCTTTAACTCCACGCCTCTTGCCAAGACCCTCGCATTTACTTCTCTTACAACCCCATCTATAAATATATTAAACAACCACGGTGACATCACACATCCTTGTCTAAGGCCTACTTTTACTGGGAAATAATTTCCCTCTTTCCTACATACTCTAACTTGAGCTTCACTATCCTCGTAAAAACTCTTCACTGCTTTCAGTAACCTACCTCCTGCACCATACACCTGCAACATCTGCCACATTATATATATATATATATATATATATATATATATATATATATATATATATATATATATATATATATATATATATATATATATATATATATATATATATATATATATATATATATATATATATATATATATATATATATATGTATATATATGTCGTGCCGAATAGGCAGAACATGCGATCTTGGCTTAAATAGCAACGCTCATCTTGCCATATAGGACAAGTGAAAATTTGTGTATGCAATAACTTAGCCAAAATCATTCTGAACCTAACGAAAAAAAATATATTTCGCTGTGTTTGTTTAGTATTAAATTATTGTAAACAAATAAAAAATATATTTAGTTGGGTTAGGCTAAAATAAATTGTGCTTTTTATAATAAGGTTAGGTAAGTTTTCTAAGTTCCTTTTGGTGCAAAATTATAAATTTTTACATCAACATTAATGAAAAAAATATATCTTTAAACGTATAAGAGAAAATTTTAGAAATGACGTAATTTTAAATGAGTTCTTGCTAATTGACCAGTTTTACATATTCGGCACGACATATATTTATATATATATATTATATATATATATTATATATATATATATATATATATATATATATATATATAATATATATATATATATATATATATATATATATATATACGTATATATATATATATATATATACGTATATATATATATGCCATGTGTCATGGCATGGCATGGCATGGCATGGCATGGCAAGAAGTGTGGCGGGCTAGCTGAGAGATTTTCAAGAATAAGTACTAATCAAAGCGCAAAGATATCCTCTCTAAGAAACTGAAAGGAGAAACTAAGAAGTCTACAGGAAACTCTCCTACTTATGCTGCTATAGCTAAGCTTCAGACGACCACCACCAAGGTTCTACAAGTCAGCAACCTCCACCGCTCACCGCCTCTCCTCTACCAGACGATATTTCCACAAAATTCTTCTACTGCCTTATGTATGCACACATGCAAAATGCAGCTAACCCGGGTTGTTTTAATACAACTCTGAATGATATTCTTGCTCTCAACAATCTGCCATCATTCAACTTCCCAGCTAGTCCTGCTTCAGCTGATGTTTTGAAGATTATCCCAAAAAATCGTCAGTTTCGAGGCACCAGATGACTTGCAAGATTTGATTTCTCCAGAAGCCACCTGCTCTACTTCGCAATCCACCAATGAGAGACCACCACCTCCTCTAGCCACCGCCACTGCCAAAAACCAGTCAGAGCCCTCACTGCCTCACGTGCTTCCACCTTCCTCCACCAATGAGAAACCGCCACCAACGCAAGCCACCACATCTATCAAGACACGAGCAGCGTCATCGTCTTCCAACACCAACAAAACTGACCAATCATCAACTTCATTTGTCTCTCACTCTAAGGATAAACAACAGTATAAGATAAGTGGAGTCGCTTTCCACACTGCTCCTGAGTATCCTAAAAAAAATGGATGCACAGACATTGATCCCCCTCCTCCAGATCGACGAAGTCAAGTACGTCTGTAGTCCACACGTTTTCTCTTCCTTAGAGAATTCATCAATCTCCTTAATGCTTCAGAGATGGACCCTAACCGCAAATTTAGACTCATGCACATGCCAATTCCGAAGTTCCAGATTCTTCTTAATGGTACAGTAGCCTAACAAGCCTCAAGCCAACCACCACCAACACAACTCATCCTGCTTGCTGCCTTCTGACACTCCCAGCTCCTGCCGCCGCCTTCGCCATCCTCTCCTAGTGAGCCAAGTACCGACATCATTCAAGCCTCTCCATCTACGCCTCCAGTACTTATGTACCACATGTCCCAAAGTGGTTGGGCCACTTGCCTTGTTTCCTCCTCTTCCCCTCCTTCCCATCCTTTTCCAGTATTTCCATCCTTCCTCATCCTTCTTCCTTCCCATCTCACGACAGCTCTGTCGTCTTCTTCGTTCGCTACTGATCCAAGAGGCTGACCAGGTCAAGACTGAACAGGACTCAGTGTGAGTATTTTGGGAAGATTCCAGTGCAGCGAGAAGACATTTCAGTACATCGTTTCAATGTAAATAGTGGAAGTGTTGTGCAGTTTGTGAAGGTTGTGAAGTGGTGGTAGTGTGGAAGATGGCCAGTGGAGGTGGGGGAGAATAAGGCCTACACTGTGTGTGAGTGCCGGCCAGGATTATCGTATATACAAACCTCGAAAAGCTTTCATGAAAACATCTACCTCCAGCACCATGCGCCATGCTTCCAGTTAACGTTGAAATGATTGTATCAATGCATGGAATAATTAGGCATATATTATGGAAAAAACAATGTGGGAGTGAGGGAGTGAGCAGCCAGTGTCACCTCTCCCATGCCACGGGGGAGGGGGAAGATGCGCCATGTGTAGGTGGTGAGGGAAGACACTGGGGCTCAGCAAGCACATACCCACACCTTACATGACTTACATGGGGAAAAAATAATGTGTGTATTGTAAGACAGTGTGAACAATATATAGTGCGCAAGTCCATGTGCAGTGTACTCCCCTCACCCCTCTACCCGGTTTGTCACAACCCGAATACCTGCGCCTCCCACACCCAAGCCCCAGCGACAACTCTCAAGCCCCACCAGGCCACCATGGTCAAGTTCACCATACCCACCCAACTTGTCGTGGGCAGATGGATGCCAGTCAGGAGGAAGTGAGCAGAAAGGGAAATGGCACGGCTGGGAATACTAGGAGAGGCAAGTGTCGGTCGTGTTTACAGCTTCATTGTCTCAACTCAAACACGGTAGTAGCCCTGGGTCAGGATGTCCTCCTCTGGAAAGTGATGACCCAGAGCCACTTCAGGCACCTGAACCCACTCCAACAGATCTCAAGTCATCAGATAATATATAGGAAACAATTAAAGCAACAGGTACCAGGACACTCACATATTCCCAAAGCAGTTTATTTGGTGAGACAGTGGCGTGGAGTAAATAACGGACGTCTTCGGAGGCTTCTTACTTTATTTGTAATGTAGTGGTGGGTACATAGGCTTATGTGTTGTGCCACTGGCCCGGGTAGTGCCATGCTCACGAGAAGAGAGAGCTAGTAAGCCTTCTGTCTTGCTGCTTGGCCGCTGAGTGAGTGAGAGTGTGGGGGCCCAGCGTCCCATTGACTTGGACAGGCCCAGAGGGCAGCACTTGAGTGGCGCGAAATATGAACTAAGCTGGCAGACAGCATAGGCTGTCTGTGCAGACAGTACAGGCTGTCTACATACACTCGGCCACCTACCTCGCGTCCGACAATACTGGTGGTAAAAAAAACTCGGTCTCTCTCTTGTAGGAACAGGGCACAGAACACAAAATAAAAAACATATATATATATACATATTGGCATGGGAAAAAAACTTCCTACTGGGAGGGAAGAAAAAAACATGTGGGGGTGTGCTAAACATCGTGGTCAAAGGCAGTGAGCATCGAGGGGCATCACTGCACGTCTTCCTGTGTCTGGACAGATACTGCAACACAGGAGACATCGCTGCAGCTGAGCTGTGACGTAACAGATTACGGTCTCCTCTAGAACAGTGAAGCAGTCATCGTAGGAGTCACTGCAGGTTTCACTCAACTTGGAGCACGACATGCTGGTGCCCTCGAGTGAGGCGTCGTCAAAACTCGGCAACTGGGCAGGACTTCTGGCAAGTGACTCAGGAGGACACTTCTCGACTGGTACTGTCGCTGGGCTGTCACTGCCGGCTAGCATGGAGCGAGTCGTGGAGCGAGTCGTGGCAGAGACGACTGGGCGAAACATCTGGGAGTCATAACATCATACACCAGACTGCAGTGAGCGAGCTAGCAGTCAAAGTGACATTTTTGTGCAGGCTGCTCACTGAAGCTTGTGACACAAGGCTGACAGCGCCTGCTGACAGGGCTAACTGCGGCTTGACGAGTGTCATTCTCTCAGCAGTTGGAGTTATAGCAGAGGTTAGTCTAAGTGTCCCCAGACTTGTTTCTCTACATATAACTGCACTCTGAAGGTCTGGAGGTGAATGAAACAAATCTCGATGGGAATCGTAGCAGGTACGATTCTGCAGAACATCTATGAGCGACGAGCATAAGAGTTTTCTGTACAAGAGGCTCAGGCTCAGGCTGACTGATATCAGCTGTCAAATGCTCTGGTCACACTGGGTGACCTAACACAGTGGTGCTACTCAGGGGTCTGGCTCAACACACACACTCACGGAACATGCGGTACAACATGGCTTAAACTAGCAAATGATGCTTTTCTGTGCACAAAATTGACACTAAGCCATACACTAACATGTGAGAACACTAACTGAGAGGAATTAATTAACACACGACATATATCTTCTCTCAATCTTCTCGACAATACTGAAATAATTACTAGAACACTCGATGTGACATCATGTGATGTCAGGCGTGACGTCGCGAGGTGACGTCAGCAGCACTGTGACATCAGCAGACATCTCGAGGTGACGTCAGCAGACATCGTGACGTCATGAAGTCAGGCAGCATCGTCGGTGACGTCAATGTGATGCAGGCAGCAGACCACAGCATGTGGCCTGGTACATCTGGCTTGGTAACCCACATTTATTTTTTTATTTATTTATTAATTTGAACATGATACAGTGAAGTATAAAAGAATACAGTAAAATGCAGCATGCCAAAGCCACTTGAATGCATAGTATTATGGGCAGGCTTAAAATTAACTTAAGATTAACTAAGCAAAAATTATTGTAAAACAGGTAACAATTTAGTACAAATGAGTATTACAAAGACAGGTCATATGGTCATTTACTGTGTTGCTGTGTAATCAGTAGAATGGAGTATTCTGTTAGGTAATGAAGTTAAATAGTAACAAAGTTTGATTGGGTCACAGGTTGACATTTATGAGATGCAATAATGAGATACATATATGAGATACAATTTATGAGATACAATTATTCAGTATTTATTTAGTTGTGGGTAAGTGATTTTTGAGAAGAGACTTGAATTTATAAACAGATAGTGTTTCTTTTATATTCACAGGTAATGAATTCCAGATTTTAGGGCCTTTTATGTGCATTGAGTTTTTGCATAGCGTGCGATGGACACGAGGAACATCAAAGAGTAATCTGTGTCTTGTGTTATGGTCATGTGTTCTGTTGAGGTTGGTAAGGAGATGTTTGAGGGGAGGGTTTATGTCAGAGTTAAGGTTTCTATGTATATAGTAGGTGCAGTAATAAGTATGGATGTTTTGTATTGTGAGTAGGTTTAGAGTTTTGAATATTGGTGGAGTGTGCTGTCTGTAGTGGGAATTTGTTATCATTCTGACTGCAGCCTTTTGTTGGGTGATTAGTGGTCTGCGATGGTTTATTGTTGTTGAGCCCATGCACAAATTCCATAGGTGAGATAGGGGTAAATAAGTGAGTGATATAGGGCCAGGAGGGCTGACTGTGAAACATAGTACCGTATCTTCGATAGTATGCCTACGGTCTTGGAATTTTTTTTGGAAATTTGTTGTATATGTGTTTGAAATTTGAGTCTATTATCAAGGTGGATTCCTAGGAATTTTCCCTCTGTGAGTTTTGTGATAGGTGATCCATTTATCATTATGTTAAGAGACACATCTGTAGCTCTGTTACCAAACTGAATGTAGTAGGTTTTGTCAATGTTTAGAGTAAGTTTGTTGGTCCTCATCCAGGTTGATATTTTCTGTAATTCGGTATTTACAGTATTGGCTAGCATGACTGGGCTCGGGTGGGAGTAGAAGTATGTAGTGTCATCTGCAAATAGTGTGGGTTTGAGTAGTTGCGATGCATTTGGTAGGTCATTTATGTAAATGAGAAAGAGAAGAGGGCCTAGGACACTTCCCTGTGGGATATGACATCGCCAACACCCCACGTGACGTCGTGATCTACGTGGCATGCTGATCCACGTGGCTTGCTGATCCACGTGGCTTGCTGATCCCCTTGGCTTGCTGATCTACGTGGCATGCTGATCCACATGGCTTGCTGATCCACGTGGCTTGCTGATCCACGTGGCTTCGTGATCTACATGGCTTACTGATCTACGTGGCTTGCTGATCTACATGGCTTGCTGATCTATGTGGCTTGCTGATCCATGGGGCTTGCTGATCCACGGGGCTTGCTGATCCACGTGGCTTACTGATCCACGTGGCTTGCTGATCCACGTGGCTTGCTGATCCACGCATCTTCGAATGGCCTCGGGCACTCGGATACACAGCTCTGGCAATGAATTCACATGAAAAACAGCAGAAAACACAGCAGAGGGAGTGATGCACATAGTGGTGGTAGGTGGTGGTGTGAGTGTACAGCAGGGTGAGCGTGGACAAGGCGAGGAACTACCACATCCTCCTCTTCTCCTCTCCCACCCACAAACACAGGGAGACACACTGGATGCAGAAATCACCACAAAACTCACCTCTGGCTTGCTGAAACAGCTGTGCTGAGCTGAACAACAACAGCAACATACAGGTGATGCTGAACACGTGACTTGAGAAACAGCGTGGAACGCTGTAGTGAGGGGTCACTGGGACGCCACTTATAATTCTCGAAGAAATTCGGCAAATTTCGGCTAAATCCTGCTTGTACCTGTGTCTGGATGCTGAAACGTGCAGACACGACATCAGGATAACTTGCTGAGAGATGGATGTGTCTTGTGTAGGGTGATGAAGTGAAGATGACTTCATCCCTTCCTCTCTCCGGGCATACACAACTGCTCTGACCACCGCTTTCCACCATTTATAACGAATTTATTTGGTGAGGCAGTGGCGTGGAGTAAATAATAGACATCTTCGGAGGCTTCTTACTTTATTTGTAATGTAATGGTTGGTACACAGGCTTGTGTGTTGTGCTCATGGCCAGGGTAGGGCCATGCCCATGAGAGGAGAGAGCTAGTGGGCCTTCTGTCTTGCTGCTTGGCCGCTGAGTGAGTGACAGTGTGGGGGCCCAGCATCTCACTGACTTGGACAGGCCCAGAGGGCAGCACTTGAGTGGCACAAAATATGAACTAAGCTGGCAGACAGCATAGGCTGTCTGTGCAGACAGTACAGGCTGTCTACATGTCCACATGCAGCTGGGAAACTTACTGACCTCTTAAAAAAGGTAAACAATAGTTCCACTATCATAAATACTCCACCAACCATCTAGGCATGGCACAACCTGGTGTTTTTTTGGTGGTGTCTGCTTAGCTGTGCCGGAAAAAAAGGGAAAAGAGGCTAGCCTCAATGATCATTAAATCCTTATAAGACTTTCCTAGAGCTGATAACCTCATTCGCCTAACCCATCAATACAAAATCAGAGTTCAAGTGAACAAGAAAACTGAAAAGGCTAACACAGTGGGGGCAACCAGAATTATCACCAATGAAGATACAGTTACCCCCATGGATACTGATACTGCTGAAACACTTGGAGGAAAGCACCCTGCCAGGGAAACCAGGGGCACCAACAGTTCCAACACCTCTGTCCTCACTGTGGAACCATTGATTCTGCAAGACTCAGACATATACAAAGCAATAATGTTTTTTCGGTCTGGCTCTACTGGGGATTACACTGGAATAAGGCCACCACATTTAAAGGAAATGGTTAATCCAGTTATCAGGGAGATTGCAGAGACACTGCTTTCAAAGATCACAGGGTTTGTCAACAACTCCATGGTTGGTCTGATTATTGACAAAATTAAACCTTTCTTTTTTGGTGCATCATTTTGTGCCCTTAAGAAGGATGGAGGAATTAGGCCAATTGCAGTGGGCAACACTTTTTGCCACCTCATTTCCAAAGCTGCTGTCCGAAGTATTCGTGCAGAGGTAACCACGATGCTTCAACTAAACCAGTTTGGCTTTGGGGTCTCTCAACGAAGTGAATCAGTAGTTCATGCAACAAGGGCATATATCAACTACCTGCTTGTGGACAATGCAGTGGTAAAATTAGATATCAAGAATGCATTTAATCTGAAAAGAGACGAGGTATTAGCAGCTGTACAAGAACATTTCCCTGGTCTCTTCCCTTTTGCTTCAGCTGGATATAGCATGGAAACAATGTTCCTGTTTGGAGAGCATGAAATCACATCATCAGAGAGTGTCCAGCAAGAAGACCCTCTCGCATTATTTCTCTTCTGTATAGCATTTAGGGAAATCACAGTCAGACTGACCAGTGAGCTAAACATCTGGTTCCTGAATGATGGCACATTAGCAGGTACAAATGAATCCCTTCTAGATGATCTTACACAGGTGATGACACAGGGACAAGAAATGGGTCTCATCCTGAATCCATCCAAATGTGAAATCATCTCAGTCAATTAACAAGTGATAGATGCAGTAAGATCAAAACTACCAGGAGCATCAGTCATTGCCCCCCAAACTAGTGTCTTGCTCGGAGCTCCTCTGTGAAGCGATTGACACACTTCTCAGGAAGAAACTGAAAGAGTTGAGAAGAATGGAACAGCGAATAAGCAATCTTGAAACCCATGATACATTGTATCTTCTCACAAAGTGTACTTTCATATGATAACCCTATACTGCACGAATATGACAGTATCCTGAGGCAGATTTATACGAAAGTACTTAACCTTACTCTTGAGGATGGGCAGTGGAACCAAGCTACACTTCCAGTCAGACTAGGAGGCATTGGTGTCCGCAAGTCATCACAGACTGCGCTACCTGCTTTCCTGTCCTAATGCGTTGCATCCAGAATGCTTGAAGCAGCGATTCTCCCTGAACATCTTAGGGACAAGATTGGAGTCCGTGACCAGAAGTTCGTTGATGGAGCCATGACCTGGGATGATCTAATGGGCTTGGAAACCAGACGTGCTCCTCCCAACAACTATGAAGAGTTGCACTGGGATGGCCCAGTAGTGGAGAATATAGCCTCAACAATGCTTCAGAGTGTGTCAGGAAAGGATAAAGCTGCCAGTGAGAGCTCCTCATGCAGGGGACTTTCTGTTGGGTGTTCCCAACTCCAGCCTTGGCACACGCCTCGACCCACAGATTATCCGCATTGGTGTTTCCCTTCGATTTGCCATCTTTATTCTCGCCAAAGACAGGTGTATTTGTGGCAGTGAAGCAGCAGCCCGATTCGGGTACCATGGTCTTGTGTGTCATAATCCGAGGGAAAGAGTGCAAGAAATGAAGAGGTTAGTAACATCAATAGGACCCTCACAACAGCCGGATGCCCAGCAGTAAGGGAGCCACCCAAACTATGCAGATCTGATGGCAGCCAAAAACCATCCAGATGGTATCACCCTTCAAGCCTGGAGAGATGGCAAGCAGGTGCTGTGGGACTACAAATGTGCATATACTTTGGCTGATACCTATCTCCAATACACCAGGGAGGAAGGAGTGGCAGCTGCCAACTTCAGGGAGTGCCAAAAGTCGAGAAAATACTTGCCCATCATTATATATTTGTTTCCATCGGCTCAGAGACCCTTGATTCATGGGGAAAGATTGCATCTAAGTTCCTCAAGGAGCAAGGCAAAAGACTTAACAGGGTAACTAGGGATCCCAGGGCAACTAGTATTCTGTTCCAGCTACTCAGCGCTGCTGTTCAGAGGTAATGCCTACTGTATTTTGGGCACTTGCTCCAGCTCTGAAGAGCTGGATGAGATATTCACTTTATAATCAGTGACAAACACTTAACAATGTGTACTAGACATGTATTTCTCATATCTAATGTACTGTATATTCCATCTTATATCAACAATGTATTTCTTAAATCTTTTGTAGCATATTATGTAATAAAATATACATATTGGTAAAAAAGAATAAAAAGATGGGGTGGTAAGAGAAGCGGAATGTTCAAATGGCTTTGGAAGAAATCAAATATTCTTCCTTGAAACCTTTTCATCCACTTCTCTGAGGCTATGGGTCATGGGTCCCACTATATATATATATATATATATATATATATATATATATATATATATATATATATATATATATATATATATATAACATAATATATTAATTATGATTTACTTTGTCAGTTCCTACTATCATTAAACTTATTAAACTTTGCATTATTGATGTAAAATTTGTATTCAATGATAAGTTTTTATACTCAGAAGTTTGGTATGGCAATGGGAAATCCTCTTTCACCTGTTCTTAGTAGCCTATCATTTTTTTTTTAAATATGACTGCTTAACACAATCCTCTCTAATAGAGCTAAATGGTTCAGATATGTTGATGATATTTTATGTCTCATGCCGAAGAATATAGATATAAACCATTTCCTTATTAAATTAAATAGCTTAGCCCATTCTATAAGCTTTACTGATTAGTTTGAGGAAATGAAGCCATTGCCTTTTCTAGATGTTTTAATTAAGGATAATAACTGTTCCCATATACACTATTATTCTTCACAACAAGATAGAGCTAAATTTGTCGGTTTTGGTAAGACATAGGCAACATTTAGGCAACTTTAATCTGAAACACTTCGCCTACACAGTAGGCTTCTTCAGCCGAGTACAGAAAGTAGGCAGGAGCAGTAGAGATGTGAAGAGATGTATACCATTTTGATATTCACTGTCAGACACTGTTTTCTAATAAATATCCATTCTGTAATATGGAGAGCAGAATCGAGCTGCATAATCTAGGTGAGGCCTTACTAATGGACTTCTGTTGCTTACACTTTTTGATATAAATCCCAGTAATCTGTTTGCCTTATTACGTATGCTTAAGCATTGCTGTCTTGGTTTAAGGTTGCTGCTTACCATAACCCCAAGCCGTTTTTGAAATCTGTATATCTAAGTTCTACCTTATTTAAATTATAAGTGCTAGAGTTGTGGACACTCCCGAGCTTCAGAACTTTGCATTTGTCTACATTGAACTGCATCTGCCACTTTTCTGACCATGAATTGAGTTTGTCTAAATGCTCCTGAAGTTCAATGACATCTATGTTTGAATCAGTTATCCTGCCTACCTTCGTTTCATCGGCGAATTTTCTCATATCATTAGTAATTCCCTTATCAAGATCATTGATATATATGATAAACAACAATGGGCCTAAGACTGATCCCTGTGGAACGCCACTTTTTATAGATCCCAACTCGGATTTAATCCCATTTAAGCACACTCTCTGCTTCCTATTGATGAGCCATGACTCGATCCATGACAGCGCTTTTTCCCCAATGCCATGAGCTGCCACTTTCTTTAACAATCTCTGGTGCGGTACTCTATCAAAAGTCTTACTAAAATCTAAGTAAACAATATCGAATTCTTTATCATGATCAACAGCCTCGTAAGCTTTACTGAAGAAGGTTAATCAATTAGTTAGGCAGGAACGGCCCCTCCTGAATCCATGCTGAGTATCACTTATCGAATTATGCTTATCCAGATGGCATCTTATAATATCAGCTATAACTGACTTTAGTAATTTGCCTACAATTGAGGTCAGGCTTATTGGGCGGTAATTTGAAAGTAACGACTTTTCCAACTCCTTGCCTGGGCAAAATGCCACATATCACAGGGTTCCCACCCTTCTTCCTAATGATCTCTATTGCTGTCATATGCCTGCTAATCAGATCTTCACTCCTACATCTGCCAACATCGTTGCCTCCCACACTGAGGCAGATCATAGAATTGCTTCCATTACCCATCATGATATCGTCCAGATAGCTAATATTATCCCCCATCCCAGCCCCAGGAAAACATACCCTCTGCCTCCTCTTCCTGTCCCTAAGACAAAAACTCCTATCCATAAATTTCACCTGACTGTCAACAACTAAAACAATGTTCTTACCTTCACTGGCAGAGATCGTAATGACGTTCTCAATGGTCTTCATTGGGGTTTCAAGGGATGTAGACTCACCCTCCTCTTCCTAAGCATCGATCGTTGTGACGTTTCCAGAAGTCAATTCACATTCATCGGGTAGCACAGAGAATGCGTTCCACAGCAGTCTTTTTCTTCTTCATCATTTCTACCTCTCCATTTGTCTTCTTGATCTTCAACTTCGTTCCAATGAACTTTAAAAATGCACCTGAATGCTACTAATATAATATATAAAAACATATTTTTATTCAATATTACGTTATATTGAATCGAATTATACCAAAGTCCTGTCAGAAGCAACTGACAACACTGTGGATGAATAATGAAGGAATGTTGGCAAGTATTAAGGTTCCAGTGATGTTATATTTCTTCTCTTTCACTCTTTTTGTTAAATATTCCCTAAACATATTCATCCACTTACTTAGAAAACATTCCTGTTTTTCTAGTGATTTCTCTTTCCTTCCCAATCTCTCCCCTCCCAACCATATAATGCCTCCTTCCTCTTCCCTCCACATTTTCCTTAATCCACTTGTTCAGTGTGAGGGAAATATTTGTTGTGTGGATGTTGTTGCTGATGCTTGACGCTGCACCTCCACCTCACTGATGCTGAACATATTTCCATCACTCTCATTTTTACTATTGAAATTTTTCCGTTTTGTCTGCTGCTGACATTTGCCAACACCACCCCGTTACTGTTGATACTTCCCTGCTCCCACACTGCTTCTGACACTTCTGTTAACACACACACACACACACACACACACACACACACACACACACACACACACACACACACACACACACACACACACACACACACACACACACACCTACTCTTGCTTCATCACCCAGCTCTACATGAGCGATACCTGTATCTCGCACAGCAACCACTGCCACCACAGCTGTAGAGCCACCATAACAACACCTGTGTAATCACAACACTGCTAAAGCACCACCCAACAAACCTGCTAAGACAGTTTCAACTGCAAAACTAAAATCATTGCCTCACCTGCAGGACAACAACTACTACACACCTGAAGAGCCACGACCAGCGCAATTGCACACCAGCACAACTATCTCCATCATCAAGCCTGAAGAACCAATATCACAACGTATATAAAGCTAGAACCACTTAAAAAACCCACAACACTTAAATAACGTCCTTCATACAAGAAAACCAACCACCATCACACTTACAAAACACTCATCACATACACAAAACCACCATCACTATCTAAGGCACAACTAACATTAAACATAAGAAAGCTTCACCATGGACAACAAGACAACTACTGACAGGTATGTATCACATACATGTCGTATTTGTAACTTGTAAGTTTGTTTATAATAAGTACCAAAGGTCATAAAAGTTACACACACACACACACACACACACATATATATATATATATATATATATATATATATATATATATATATATATATATATATATATATATATATATATATATATATATATATATATATATATATATATATATGCAAAACAACCACTGTGAAAGAATAGAGAAGTTCCAATCGCTTTCGTTACTACTCACATTATCAAGGAACATTGATAATGTGACCATACCCGGCCGGGATTGAACCCGCGGTCATAGAGTCTCAAAACTCCAGCCCGTGTTATTACGATTTCGTGAGTCGAGTCTTGATAATATGAGTAGTTCCTTGATAATGTGAGAAGTCACGAAAGCGATTGGAACTTCTCTATTCTTTCACAGTGGTTGTTTTGCATATTCTGAAATCACCTGTTTACTGTGATCTTATTGCATATATATATATATATATATATATATATATATATATATATATATTATATATATATATATATATATATATATATATATTATATTATATATATATATATATAATATATATATATATATAGGTAAAACTGGTTAATTAGCAAGAACTCATTTAAAATTAAGGCCTTGTAAAATTTACTCTTTTGCGTTTAAATATACATTTTCTTCATTTGTGTTAACGTAAAAATTAATAATTTGGTACCAAAAATACCTTAGAAAACTTACCTAACCTTATTATAACAAGCACAATTGAATTTAGCATAATCGAGCTAAACATATTTTAGATACGTTGACATAAATTTAATAAAAAAACAAACGCAATTAAATATACTTTTTTTTCCGTTAGGCTCAGAAAGATTTTTGGCGAAATTATTGCACTGCGAAACTATTGTGAAATTATTTGCGAAATTATTTCATTGCTATTTAAGAAAATAGCAAATTTTACTTATACAGCACGACACACACACACAAACACCCACACACACACACACACACACACACACACACACACACACACACACACACACACACACACACACACACACACACACACACACACACACACACACACACACACACACACGGGTGTTGAGAGTTACGGGGGATAGGGTTAGTAGGAAGGTGAGTTTTGTAGGGGTATATAGGCCGGCTGAACATGATGTTAATATTAAAAATAATTTTGTTAGAGATGTCTTAGAGTATTATTCGAGGTCCGTGCCGGAAACTACAGTGGTTGGTAGAGATTGGAACTGTGATGTGCCGTAAAGGCGTTGAACTGAGGGGGGGCGCGGGTTATTGTTCACTTATTTTGGGTGATTTGTTGGTGGGTTTGGGTGGAAGACTATAATCGGGGATTGAGCAGAATTTCGTGCGTAGAGGTTATACGGCGTGTTTAGATAGGTTGTATGTATCTTGACGGGTGGTTGTAATCCAGGTGTGTGTGCTGAATGTCTCTTTCTCTGACCATTGGGGAGTTTTTGTGGAGCTAGACTGGGGGAAGGTCTCACAAATTGTTCTAAAGGATACTGGAAGTTGAATACGAGGCTGCTACAGAGCACAGAGGATAGGGCACTATTCGCGGATCTATGGGCATCTATGGGAGTAGACTCCAGGGAGGGGTGGGATTTAGTGCGATGGTGGGACGAAATTGTGAAGCCTCAAATTAAGAATTTTTATGTGCATCGGGGTAAGGAGGCCAATCGCATGGAGTACGGTTTCATGGGGTACCTGGAGGGCCATCTACCGCAATGTTATGTTCAGAGAGAGGCATCTGGGGTTTACCGGACCTAGTGGATGAGAAAGACGTTCTTAAAGAACAAATTCAGGTATTGAAAAATAAGGTTTTCGATTTGGCACGCATTTCGGGTGGGGTTGAGGAGGCTTTGTGGGGTGATAAGCCGTCTGCTTATGTCTTATGAAGTCAGACACAAAGGCGTAAGGCGACTGAAATCATGAGTTTGTTGGTGCAGGACGAAGTAGATAGGTAAAGTGAGGGACAAGTCTTAACGACAGCCGAGGGGATAAGTTTTTATGTCAATACATGGAGTAAGCCCCAGATGTGTGAGCGAGCATGCAATACAGGATTTGGGGAGGGGAATACGATGCAAGTTCAATGATCACGGTCGCCTTCTTATGGGTGGGCCTATATCTGAGGCAGAGGTGTGGGAGACGCTACAGGGAACGAATAAGTGGAAGGCGCCTGGCATTAATTAATGGCTTCCCTTGTGAATTTTATATTCAACATCGGGAGGTAATACTGGGTTTAATGGTTCGATTACTCAATGCTATGAAGAAGGGTGGAGTATGAGGTCTGTCTCAGCGTACGGCGGTGTTGGGGTTAGGAAATGTGACGCGCCGATAGCAATTAAGGACTTTCGTCCCATATCGTTGATGTGCACTGACTGTAAGCTATATGCAAATATTTTGATGAATAGGATTAAGAAAGTGTTTGATAAGGTGATCCATAAGGGTCAGTTTCGTGTACCAGGTAGGTTGATGTATGATAGTCACGGGAATATCAGGGAGTTTGTTGAGGATTGCGGGGAGAGGGGGGTGACGTTCTGTCTTTAGACTGGAGAGCTGCGTTTTGATAGTATGGAGAGGGAGGTCCTGTGGAGGTTTATGAGATGGCAGGGTTTTGGAAATGAGGTCGTCACGTAGGCCCGTTCCTGGTACAATGGGGCAGGTTTTAAAAGACAAGTTAATAGGAGGTTAGGTGTTTTTGTACACTCTTTTTGCATGTCTTCAAGACCCTTTTTACTGGTCTGTTTGTGGACGGGGTATAGATTCGTCTTGGGGGTCGGGCAGTGGCCGACCGGCCCTTGTGAGTTATGTGGATGATACGACTGTACTATTACCTAAGAGGGAACACTTACGTATTGTTGGGAGACTTGATGTATTTGGCAAGGCAACGGGGCTGTGCGTTAATAGGGAAAAATCGAAGATTATGGAGTTCGGGGAGTTGGTGGGGGATGGGGTGGGTGCAGCAGGGTGGACGGTAGTTGATCATCTCACTATATGTGGTGTTCATTATATGTGTGAAGTAGACCAGATGCGGGCATGTAATTCAGAGAGGGTTGTGGACGGTGTCTTGGGGTGCTTAATCTACGGCCGCGACATTGAACCCTGCATCTGAGGGCGGTAGTCATTAATGACCTGCTTTACAGCAAAGTATGGCATGTTGTTGCGCTGTATGCTCTGTTGCAGGGGGATGTCAAACGTTTTTTTCCATAGAGTTTAGTTTTTGTGGGGTTCGGGTTGCGATTGGCTCACAAGAGCGGTGGTGGAGACACCACTGCACCAGGGAGGGTTGGGTCTCTTTCCTCTATAGGCTCGCGTAATGGCGTGTTATGTGAATCATGGTTTTCTCCGGCTGGGTGGGATGTGGAGTGGTTTAATTGAAATGTATCAAGAACTACACAGTTGGTGGGGGAAGAGGGATTTACTTAGGTGCGAGTCGATGCTTTGCGTGTGAGGGATGTGCGGTGTGTTATTATGTACCTTGGATAGGGGCGGGTATGGGGAGAGTCGTGGCGCGAGTCGAGGGAATGTACCCCATGTATGCTTGGAGTGATATTTGGGGGAGGGTTCAACTATTGCGGTTGTCTGCTCGTGTACGGAAAGTGGTTTTTAAGTTTTAAGTTTTTACATGGGATCCTGCCGTCCGTACGGGGTGGATGAGTCTGCTTTTCATGTTGTGTATTTCTGTGAGACTTTAGGTGTGGTACGTGAGTGGTTCAGTAGGGTTATGCGCTTGGTAGGGGGAAGGGTTGTCAGTGCCCCGGGCGTTGAGTTTTGATGTAGGTGAGGTTGACGTGCACGTTCAACGTGCGGTGTCGTACATTGTGGCCAATTATATTTACATGTCATGGGCTATGAGACAGGTCTAAGGTAACATTAGGATTCGGGTTCTAGCTGGGTCGATTTATAGGACAAAATGTCGAAATAGGTTGGTATATGAGGGGAGATGGGAGAGAGACTTCCCGTCGGTGTATAAAGCCTTGGAGTTACGTGATTTGAGATTGTTGTGAGGTTAAGGGGTAATCTAAGGGCTGGTCAGCAGTGTCTAATCATTTATGCCAAGTGAGTGAATGTTGTGTGATCTCGTGAATTATGTGTCTCCTATGTGATGGGGACGTCACTATATCTGTTAAGGTTTTGTGTATACAGCTTTTAGGAACGTATCGCCGTCGTTTATGCCTCGATACAAGTCGTTGGAGTATATATGTATTATGGTGTGCTTCCAGCACAGATGATTGTTTCTTATTTTCTGTTTATACTTTATGCCGTGTTATAGGGTGTTATTCAATAGCACTATATATGTCTATATATATATTTTTTTTTGTAAGCTGTGGTAGAGCTTGAGTTATATGTGGTAGCAGTATTATTGAATATTTATCACATGTAAGTGTATACGTTCCACATGTAGCTGCTTGCATGTGTCTTTCTTTTGTTTTTATTTGAGATGACAAATTTCAAATTGCAGTTCAGTTAGTTATATTGGATGTTTTTTGTGACTTATAGTGTTATCCTGTTCCACCTTTGAATTGTAAATATCTACTCTTAGTCAATGATAAGATCTTGTGTTAGTTGCCGAAATTAATGTTTAAGTATTGTTGTGGTCTTTTAGGCACCTGAGGTCTTAGATATAAGTCCAAGATACATGTGTGTTGGCAGGCGGAAGCCATACCAAGCGTTTTTTTTTTATATATACGCCAGGTGTAGTACCATGTTGTATGCTACATGATGTGAATGTGTATGTGTGTAGTTCGTGTGTTCGTTTTTGTCACAGTGATTTTTTTTTTTATAGCCTTCATAATTTGCAGTACACGATGTGCTTTTTTGGACAGTCTTGTTCATATCCTTCTAATGTTGTATTATTTTGCTATCTTTATATAACATTTTTATTTATGTTTTAAATAAAATATAAAAAAAATATGACCTAGGTAAGTCTTTTTGCAATTTGGAAAAAACAAG